CACCCACACCTTGCTGTCCTCACCCCACACATTCCCATTCAAGTCCTGAACAAATGTCTGCCCTGCCCCCCAAGATAGGCACCGATGACAGGCAAAGGAACGATTCCATCCAAGTCTATTCCATCCAAGTCCATCCTGTGAGTCCGTTATTGGGCTCACTCACATAGCATGTGTAGGCATTACCTTAGGCATGTGGGTGACCCCAAAAGAGCCACATAACTGGAAGTCTCACCTAGCATGTGACAACTCCCCCATAGCTGCACTGTTGGAGCCCCCACCTCTGTTGACAGCTGACCTGGGGCAGGAGGGGCAGACTGATCTCTCAGAGTCTAACAACCTTTCCTCCTCTCCCTTTCCATAAGAGAGTCTTAACAGGCTAGATCTGGAGGATTCCTGATGAATACAGTTGCCCTGATTTCAAGGAGCTAATGAAATACTTGGAGAACACGGGTGTGGTTGGTCACCCCAGAAAGCACTGGGTTCTTCCCACTTGGGGACTTCCCTTTGCTTTTTGTTTTACCAGTTTCATCATCATTAAAATTTGCTTTGATGCTTTGAAGCCTGTGTAACTGACTTCTGACATTGCCCCTCATCTCAGATGGAAGGCTCCTGGTGCTAGCTTGACACAGACACTTACTGGATGCCATCGTCAAGTTAAGAAAGTAAACAGAGTCTTCAGTTACTGGAGTCTGAGTTAGGGGACTGTGGGAATCCAACAGCAGGAGGAAGTTCAGAACACAGCAGGGTCCCAGCACTCTGGGCTCTCATCCTCCACAGTAGCTGAGAAACTGCTGGGGAGGGCGGGGCAAAGACTATATAATTCCTCGGAGGGAGATCTTACTGGAGATTTGTTACTCTGAGTTCAAAGAGACTTAGTGAACACTGTTGCTAAGGCAAGACTAAAAGATTCCACTGTCAGAGCAACAAGGTAGCTGCGAGACATGAAAAGCTGGGTGTTTTACAGCAGCCCACTCCTCGGTGCGATTTTCCCACCATGGATTTTTTAAAAAATAGTTTTGAAAGGTAAACTATTGGGCTTTCAGAAACGTGGAGAGGGAGCTCATGCCATCCCAGTTCCCAGCCTTGCAGGATGGTGTGTCTTGATGGATCGGATCTAGACCACAGGAAGTTCCCAGGCACTGCATCTCCCCCGAGGGTGCTTGCTGGGCTACCGCTAAGATTAAGTTTGGTTTGGGTTTTTTTTCCCAGCCTATCAACTCAACCCAAACCTCAATTGCTGTTTGATTATCGTATTTGCCTTGGCCTGGGAGAATTTCATAACTGTGGAACCGCACGGACCTGTGTTAGAGAGTCACAGTTTCTGGTGGTCACTGGCTTAAGGCCAATCTGTATCAACTGACAACATGGTATGGTTAAGGGGTAGGTTTTTAATGAGAGAGAGAGAGAGAGAGAGAGAGAGAGAGAGAGAGAGAGATAGAGAGCACCAAGAGCATCTGGAAGAGTCTAGAAGTAGCTTGGACATGGCCAGGGCTCTCTGTGAGAGTGGGGAACAGCAAGGGATAGAGGGAACAGCAGAGGTTAGAGAGAGGATAAAGCATAGTGAGAGTAGCTGCAGAGAGGGTAGGGCCAGGAGACTGGTGTGCGGGCATTAGCATGTGTAACAAGTGGGGACTGAGGGAGCCTGGAGGCTAGCGTGGACCTTGATATGCTGATAGGCACCACAGGTGTATGTTAAGTGGAGAGCCATAGGTCCCTTTTGCTGGAGGTAAGGGAAAATGACTCCTTTCTGTAGATGGGAACCAGTTTGAAGCGTTCCTGAGGAATGCTGGCTTTTATCTAACCACCAGAAATCTTCCTACATGGGTTGAGCTCATGGCTAGATATTTGGGCTGCCTTTTGGAGTGTGGGGAATTGGAGTTCCCTTTGGACCCAACACAATTCAAAGGAGCATCTCATAACCCCAGCACGAAAAGTGCTTAGAGGCTGCAGGAAACGCTTCGGGCTTCAGACAGATGCATGGAGATGAATGCTCCCTCCGTGTGGGAGAGTTCACAGCAGAAGTGTGCAGGGCAAGAGGCTGGCAGCCTTGCTCCGGTCCCCTCTCTGTGGGATTCTGACTCTTCTGTACAGGAATTGCCAGGGAGAGGGAACAATCATGCCTGCCATGGCCAGCCACTTTTAGAATTAATAGAACCTGAATATCAAGAGTAAATGGGGTAGAGACCACGAGAAGTCACTTTGTGCCTGGAACCCAAATCCAAGGATGCCATACGAAGCTTCCTCATGCACCTGTGTGGCCCATCGGTGGCACAAACAGCTGCCTGTGAGCTGCCCTCCTTGGAAGCCAGGCTGGCTTCCAGAAGTCTCAGCTTAAGGCAGATCTCTGTCTAGCACTTACTGGTCAAAGGGCCAGTTTGGGCTGCATAGTGAGTTCTGGGCCAACTAGAACTTACATAGCAAGACCCTGTTTCAAAAATTGAGAGTGGGGGTTGGGGGAAGATTAAAACCAGTGCTCCATAAAACTTTTTAAAAAGGGTTTTCCACATATGTGGATTTTTAGTGTGTATGGAAGAAAATGTTTTTTTACATGCATGCTCCAAAAATCCAAAATGAGCCAAAGCAAAATGGTACAGCACACCTACTGCCCAGCCAGCACCTCCCTGGCACACACCTTAGAACAAGGTTTGGCCTCCAATCTGACTACCATTGTTAAGGCACTGAGTCTGATCATAGGTACTTTGGACCAGGACACAGGTGAGGGTTAAGAGTGGGGTCTGGAGGCACTTCCAGTGGGCTGAGGGCTGGGAGGGTCAGAGTTGGATCCAGCCTGACCTCCGATCCTTGGAACCTGGACCTGTTTAGTTCACCAGTCCCCGTGGTGTAACAGGCTGCCTAGCTGCAGGATGGTATCCTAGTAACCTCACTGGATCAGTCCCTTCCAGGCTCCAAATGAATCTTCAGGCTTAACATTGCACCTCCAGATCCCTGCAATACCACAGAGGTGAGCTACAGGGACAGAGTCACTCATGACCTTAGAGGCCAAGTTAGAAGACAGTCCCACCCTGAATGGGGTATAGACACCAGCATAAGTCTTACCTCTTCCCATGGCAGCTGAAATAATCCTTCAGCCCAGGCCCCCATTGTTCTGGGGGAGGGGCAGCCACTGCCCAGCACCCATGGTAGCATACAGCTGTGGGTGGCTTCATGGTATCAGTCCTGTTTTCCAGTCGGGAAACAAACCATCAGACGTCGGTGGTTCCACTCCAGAACCTTCCAGCTCTCACCACTCATCCGCCTCTCCTCAGTGCCCCTCCAAGCCCTGCTACATTTTGTACTGAAATTCACAGTTGCATTAATGGAGTGTGAAGCCTGGCGAGATGCCCTTCCTGGGTTCTGAGAAGCCCTTTCATCCTTGCTTTGGTTTTTAGAAGATAAGAAGGTATCACTGCCACATGCGGCCAGCGTCAGCGTTGCTCCATTGGGTTCCACGGGGCAGCCGGTCGTCTGGGGATCAGGTTTGACCCTCCAAAATGCTCTGATTTGCACAGACAGCACAATGTGGGGTTTGAACCAGGCACCTGAGAGACCCCTCTTACCTTCTTCCCTCGTCTGAGAGGGACATTCAGGGGCAAGGGGAAGCCTCGCTCATCCTGATACGTTTTAGACAGAGCCACATCTGCAGAAGGAAGCCTCTGGACTCAGAAACCGAGATGGCTTTTTCCAGCTTCAGAAACCACCCTGCCTTTTCTCTGGCCCAGAAGCCAGTTGGGCCCTGTGTCTATAACAAGGTCTGAAGCAGGGAGCTGACTTGAATATAGACTAAGTAACCAGGGTCAGTAGTTGCCAGGGTGTAACTCATAGTCAGATGGCCTGAGATGAAGCCTCAATCCTGGCTGGCCCCATGGGGGCTCACACATCTGAGTGCCTCTGTTTCTTTGAATTGTGCTTGGTTCTGCCGACTCTTGGCAAGTGTCAGTGTTCTTTTCCGTGGGTGGCGTGGAGACAGGATGGGGACGGGTTCCCAAGCGAAGCTGCTCTGTGACATTCACGGGTCTCAGCTGAGAAAGAAAAGGGCCAATTCCCGGTGAAGAGAAGCGTTCTAGTCTCTCATGTGTTCCTCTTGTTGGTGTTTTAATATCACAGTGCTACCAGTCAAGCCACAGGAAAGACATTGGGCAATTTTCCATGCGGGCTTATGAGCCCCTATCTGCCTCTGAATGCTGGATGGCAGGATAAAGTCCTGTGACTCTGCCTGCTTTGGCATCTTATTTAACTCCAGCTTCTTTTTTCTTGTGCTGTCTGCTTCTGGGAAATGGACACAGGATCTACAAAAGTATTCATCATGTAGGCAGACAGCCCTGTGCCCTTCCCAGTGAAGCTGCCTGGGGTCTCACGGCCACATATGGCAGCCAGTTGGTTTTTGCAATCGGTGACAGGTGGTCCAAGCTGGGTGTTTCCTGACTCCAGCCATCCCAGCTGGAGTCCAGTCAGCTCTGGCTTCTTGCCGCTTCCCACTTAGACTCTCCTGGCATTGGCTCTGCTGGAGACTAATTAGCCACAAAGAATCGTGACTCTCCTTCTCATGAGATGACCGTGTGTCACAGGGTTTTTGCTCAACTGATGTTGCAGCCAGTTCAGAAAGGACCTCAGAAAAGCTTACATAGCCACCGAGTGGAGGAATGTGGGTTCACACATGCTTTCTGCTGGAGGCAGCCCATGTAATCTTTTCTACATTTTCTACCGCATTTCACATTTCTGTACAACCTCCTTAGACCTTTGTCAGAAATGATATCCAAGGGAGGTTCTTGGTCCCAGAACAAAGGCGGCGGGTGCCCTAGCTCCAGCTCAGCTGTTTGCATGGAAACAGCAAGGATGTCAGGTACTACGGGCCTTCCATTTAATTGGCTAGAAAGCCTGCCTTTCTATTATTATTATTCATATATTTATTTTACATCCCAGCCACAGCCTCCCCATCCTCCCCTCTCAGCCCCCCTCCCCCATCCCTCCTCCAACCCTCCAACCTCCTCCTCTCCGGTCTCCGTCCAGGAAAGGGCAGGTCTCCTGTGAATATCAATAAAACATTTGCCTTTTCTTTTTTCTTTTTCTTTTGAGGGGAGTCTCAGACTCACCATAAGGCCCAGGTTGGCCTCGAGTTCATGACTCTTATGCCTCAGCCTCTCAAGTGCCAATTTACAGGTGTATGCCGCAGTCTGCGGCTGAGACTTTACCTTTCCAATGTGAAAAGTCTTAGTGCTTTGCTGTCCTATCTTTGGAAGCCCAAGCATAAATAAAAAATTTCTCTTTCCGTCACAGTTCATCAACAGTCCTTACAAATCTGGGCGAACACCCCTCTTCTCAAAATCACCAGGACAGCACAAGGCTCTTAGCCTGCCAGAAACTAAGGTGTTTCTTTTTCACTGGGACAACTGTGACTCCAAGAAGCAGGCTACTCCCCACCCCCAAGAGGAAGTTTAAAGCTCTGACCCCACAATGGTAGCCCTGGCTCTTTGAGCTTCGCCCACTGCTCTGAAGGAACCTCTGCAGATAACCCTGTTGCCATGGAAAGGAAAAGACTATTTAATACAACTTCCTGAATCTGGGGAGGAGGCAGAGATGGCAGGAAAAACTAGATATTATTTTAAAATGTTTCATTTCAGTTAAAAAAAAAAAACCTGCCAGTTTGTTAAAATGCTTAAGAAGAAATGAAAGGGCTTCTTCGTGGAGCTAGGAGTGCACAAGTGAGATATCCTTGGGGCCCTGCTCTGTCCTCTGAGGTGAAGTACACTGTGTGTGCTTGGCAGCCTCAACAAGCTGTTTCTCTGTGAATGGAAGTTCCGGACAGGCTGTGGAGCTTCACCATGGCCTCTGAACTTCTTCAGAATCACAAAACTTTGAGGGTAGAACCTTAAGGAGTATCGCTCAGGGCTAAGCCAGCACTGAGGTAATACTAAGCAGTGCCTTTGTGGGCCCATTCCTCAGAACTTAGAATTGAGGCACAATGAAGTGGGTGAGGCCCAGAGAGATGGCTCAGCAGATAAAGGGGCTTGACTTGCAGCCATGGCATATGCCTATGTACACACAACTAAATAAGTGTAAAATAAGAACAAATTTGCAGCATAAACCATGGCTCAGAGGCCATGCCAGGAGTGGTCATGGTAGAAACAAGGCTGCTACTGGATAAAGGTGTGTCCTGCTGACAGCAGGGACCAAAGACGCTGCCACTGAGTGTAAACAGCAGGGATAAGAGAGAACGGGAGGGCTAGGAGAGGGGCATCCATGAATCTAGAGCCAGAGACCAGAGCAGGGTCACTTAGCCAGGACACAGGGGAGGAGGGGATAAGCCCTAGGACCACTCATGCCCAGAAAAGTTGGATCTCTCCTGTGGGTAACAGGAGCTAGCAGGGACCCTGCAAAGAAAAGTGACACCATGCAAGGGTATGAAGAGATAGGATGAGACAGGAATTGAGCCAGGGAGGAAGCTACTACAAAAATCAGGGTGTGGCCAGAGATGAGCTCAAATGCATCCTCAGGAGGGAGCTGAAGACATCGGGAACAGTGTAGATGGATGACGCGGGCCACACTAACAACTGTCAGCCCTGGTGCTCATAGAAAGGATGGAATCCACAAGGCATGAACAAATGCTGTTTTTATTATTGCCTGTCTGGCACATGCAGGCAATGACCTCAGTCACACAAAGGCCAAGTTCATGGTAGAGAGTCATCTGAATTTGCTATATTTCACCATTTCTAAGTAGAACAAGAATCAACTCAGCTAAAAAAGACTGTGCTGGGCATCAAAAGGTAACAGCCGTCTTATCAACCTGAGGGCATTTACCACAGTAGCCCAGAAGAAGCTTCCAAGGGAAGTGGGGCTTAAGGGGCCAGAGCTGGAGACTGGGGCAAGGGGATTTCAGTCCTGGGCCACACAGTGTGATGCTGTCTTGAAAAGACAAACACTCCTTTGATGTGCAAGGCCCTTGGTTTGATCCTCAGTACAAAAGAAGGAAGGGGACGAGGAAGGGGAAAAAGAAAAACTATGATAAAGTTTGAATTATTAATTTTAAGAGATTACTGTGATTATATTAATATCTATGATGCAATACATATAATATATTATTATAAGAGTTGTTAATTATTAAGTACATGAAGAGATGGCAACAATAATAGAATGATTGCCAGTGAAAAAGAGCTGAGACCCACTTATATCAGGGCTCTGGTACAAACCATACCGATGCAAGACAAGCCCTCTCTGTCCCACAGGGCCAGGGCTGGATGTTGGGTGGCAGCCAGTCGTGGTGCATACAGTTTATATTTTGCTGTGACACTAGCAATTCACAGCTGTTTCCTTGTCATTTTGAGTCCCCTTTAATCTAGTCTTTCAGCCCCAGGTCCTCATTCCCCAAAGACTAAAAGGCAATCTTTTTTTTTTTAATCAATAAACATAAATTTGCTTTCCCTATAATAACTCTATGAGGTGACTGGAGACTAGCTGTGCTGTGATACCCTGAGACTTCATCCTCAGTTTTGTACCACACGCAGCCTCAGTCACCCCAGGCCTGGAGAAGCAGGCGAGGGGTTTGTTTTCACCTAACAAAGGAGTTAAGCTTTTCCACAATCCATATACACTGATCAAATGAAAAGATGCCCATGTGACATCGTAGAGCCCACAGTTTTGAAAAGTAATCCGTTCTGAAGAGCAAGGAAGTAGTACATGGAACCAAGCGTCTCCATGGAAACCCACGGCCGCTCTACTTCCTCACTGCCTCTGATTTGTGCTTTTTTGTGTAAATGCATGTGTACACATGTGTGTTCATGTTTAAAGCACATGTGTGTGCATGCATACGGGAAACCAGAGTCACCCTCAGTAGCTATGCATCTTGTTTTTGAGGTAGCATCTCTCATGGCCTGGAGCTCACATGTAGGTCCGGCTGGGTAACCGGCGAGCCCTAGGGATCCTCCTGTCTCTGTCTCCCTGGTGTTGGTGTCAGGAGCATGTGACACTTGGCCTTGTACATGGATTCTGGGGATTGAACTTGCGTCCTCATGCTTAGACAATGGGCACATGAGTCACCGAGCCAACTCCCCAGGCTACCTTCTGTGTTTCCGCAGGTGGTTTTCAGCAAGTACTGCAACTCCAGTGACATCATGGACCTGTTCTGTATCGCCACCGGCCTGCCTCGGTGAGTGTCCCCTGTGCCCTCTGTAATGGGGACTGTATCATCCCCACAATGGGCCAGAGGACGGTGAAGCTGTAAATGGGGGTCAGTCCAGAGGAGTCCCCCAGGCATCTGCTGTGATTTCCCTCAAACCAGTGAGACAAACCCCACAGAAAGCTCAGTCCCGGCTCTGCCACCTCCCCAGCAGCAGCGTTCAGCCGCTGGGTTAAGCTCAGCAGAGCCCCCTCTACTGCTGGGTTTTCCCTTCCACTGGTTCACTCTCTGTGGAGGAAGGTAGATGGCTGTTTTCAGAGTTGCTCCAGCCTCAATAACTGCTAGTGCCTTTGCTCTCAGACTGCCGTCATCAGCATTTGACACACGACTGGCTTCAGAGATGGGTTAAAAGCTGTTGCCTATCCTACAGAATCCTCACAATCCACCCCCCACACACACACAGCCTCCTAAATCCAGTCTGTACTAGCATGGGGATTTTCTAATTACAAGCTGAGCTTCGCTAGTCCTCAGACCCCAAGTTCTCCAAAATCCGAAACAGTTTTAGCGCTGACCTGACATCAAAAGTAGAAAATTCTGCCCTTGACCTGGCTGGAGTGATGTGTCAATCAAAACACAGCATGAAAGACATGGATTGTGTGTTTAAGCGTGGGTCTGCTCCCCGTAATATCATATCCCATATACTCAGGTAGCCTAAAATCAAAAAGAAAGAAAGAAAGAAAGAAAGAAAGAAAGAAAGAAAGAGGGGAGTGAGGAAGGGAAGGAGGGAGGGAAGGAAGGAAGGAAGGAAGAGAAAGAAAGAAAGAAAGAAAGAAAGAAAGAAAGAAAGAAAGAAAGAAAGAAATCCCATATACAATTCTGGTCCTGAGCATTTTGGTTAAGGCACACGTGGCTCATTTTAGCACATAATTTTTCACTAGGAAGGGTGACCTAAGGCCAGGCATGATGGTGTATCCCTGTAATGCTGGTATTTGGGAGCTGAGGCAGGAGGATTGTGAGTTAGAGGTCAGCCTGGACTACACAGTGAGACCCTGTCTCAGACAACTCAAGAAATAAATAAGAGAAAAGAAAGGTGACCGCTGTGGCATTGGATGGAGATAACTTTAAAGTGAGGGTCAGGATCAGTGGAGGTGAAAGGGATGGGACAACTGGTGATAAAAGCTTCTTACAAACTAGTGAGGAAAGGGACTGAGGTGATGCAGTTGTGTTCTGGAGGCGACAGCAGATGACCAACTGCAGTAAAAGCCACACTGGCAGCTTTAGGCAGCAAATATTTAGAACTGTAAAACATACGCAGTGCACACATCTGCCTTTACTATACTGTGAGATTGGGGTCTTGTTTCTATCGTACTAATTTGAAAATTTCACAGGCCCCTGGGGAGCTGGTTCCACAGGTAAAGTCCTTGCTGTACAAGCATGAGGACCTGAGTTCGATTCAATCCCCAAAACACACATAAAAAGCCAGTGTGGTGGCACACACTTGTAATCCCAGTCCTAGGGAGGCGGGGACAGCCAGATCCAGGGGGTTCACTAGCCAGCTAGGCTAGCTGAATTGCAAGCCCCAGTCCCAGTAAGAGACTCTGTCTCAAAACTGAAGGTGTATGGTGCCCGAGGAATGCCATGGAAATTGGCCTCTGGCCCCAGGCTCCCACACAGTCATGCGCTCATCCTTATTCACACAAATTAAAATACAGTCATAAAAATTCACAGTTGAGGATCAGAGGATCAGAGGTTCAGTTGCAGGGGTAACAGCTGATCGGAAGCCCCAGAAATGAGAAGCTGGGGAAGAAATTGGTTTTGACCGTTTAAGTCCTCTTTATGGAAGAGCATTGGGAGCTTTCCAATGGCCCAGAAGCAGCAAGATAAGCAATCGGTAGTTCCTGTCTCTGATTTTTGTTAGTTTTGGGCACTGAAGCTTCCTCCATCTCCCAACTCAATAAATTAGCCTTGCTCCAATTCCCACTTTAAATTATTTAAAAATTGACAGGATCTTAAAATACATTTACCCTTTACATTTGGTCTGCTAAGGAAGGGTGGGGGATAGCATGCTGCCCTTGCCTGCCCTTAGCCAAGGACACCTGGTCCCCAGTTCTCAGGGCCTGGGTTCTCTGTGCTCCGTCAGGTGAGGCCCATGTGCAAGTGCCTGCGTAGAGGGGGCGGTACTGACTTGAGTGTTTTGCAGGAACACCACCATCTCCCTTCTGACCACTGACGACGCGATGGTCTCCATCGATCCCACCATGCCTGCGAACTCAGAGCGGTAAGCGTCTCTTCCTGGGGTGTCTTATGCTTCCATGCCATGTGCCAGGGAGTTTGCAATTTGGTTTTGTTTACTACTGCTGGAAAGTGTGAAGTTTCAGCTGAGAGGGGAAGAGGCAGATGGGAAGCAGGAGGAGGAGGCTGGGTTCACTCCTTCCTTCTTGGGAAGCCAGGCTCCATTCTCAGTAGGGGCCCTATGAGGAGGCCGTTTGCAGAAACAGGGAGATAGGAGCATAGTGTAGCCTGAGGGATCCTTCTGGGAGAACTAGGGCTTCCTGGGGACTTTGTCTCCTCCACTTAAGCCCTTGCTGGAATATTCTGTGCATAGGACGAAGGAGGCTGAGGCACAGAGGGTCGAGGGTAGAATGGCCAGTGGCTACCAATGAAAACGAGCGGGATAGCGGGAGCCAGTTGTCTGTTCCCTCAGGGAGGACATGGAACAGATCCTTTGAGCCAGTGATGCCATTATCTCAGGTGGCCCAGAAAGTCTCTAGTAGTCTCCATGTCGTATGGGCAGTTAGGCTAAACAACTTAAAATGCAGCCTCTGGGGCTGTTGGGATGATCCAGCAGGTGAAGCATTTGCACGAAAACTTAATGGCATGAGTTCAAGCCCAGCACCCGTGTGAGGATGTAAGGAGAAAACCAACTTTGTCCTCTGATTTCTACATATCACACACACACACACACACACACACACACACACACACACACACACACACTCCCCCCGCCCTGAAAGCACAGGCCCACCCCTGACCTGCTGTTCCAGATTGCCACATTGCTATTACACCAGATCTATGTTTTTTGTTTGTTTGTTTGTTTGTTTGTTTTGGTTTGGTTTGGTTTGGTTTTCTTTTTTTTGGTTTTTCGAGACAGGGTTTCTCTGTGTAGCTTTGGACTATCCTGGCACTTGCTCAGCTGGCCTTGAACTCACAGAGATCCACCTGCCTCTGCCTCCCGAGTGCTGGGATTAAAGGCATGCGCCACCAACGCCCGGCGTGTCTATGTTTTTAACTTCCCCACCTCTGAAGACCATGCAACTGTTCAGCTTGGACATGGTCACCTCCTCCTGTCCCAGCCTCCCACAGATAGAAGGGACTTGGCTGTAGGTGCCAGGTCTCATCCCCACACTTGGAACCTTCCTGTTTCCGGTTCACAGCATGGATTTTCCGTGACTCCCCACATCTCTGAGGTCTCTAACCAGCCATCTCCATCCCGGTCAAATGGGCGTCTGTCTCCATCTCTCACGCCTCCACGCTTTCCTGCTGTTTTCTCTACACCTGCTTCAAAACCCCAGGTCACAGCAGCAAGGTGGAAGGCCAGACGGCTTCTGCTCTCATTTGGAGTTGGCAAGACATGATGAGTGGCCTTTTCCTCAGGACCAATAAGTAAGAACAGACGTATTGGAGCCTGGCCAAATGGAGCTACAGGTTTGCCCTCAGAGGGCCTTTTCCCATCTGGCCCCTTTCTCTGACCAAGGAATGTTCTAGGTTTGGCAGTGTCCAGCTCTCGCTGCTGTGTCTTGGACCCTGCCCTTACTCTCTTGCTGGGGAAAGGGAACAGATGCTTTAGTGGCTTAAGGAGAGGGGGGCATATGGCGCAGCATATGGAGAGGCCCAGAATTGACACCGCACATTTCTGACATAACACAAACACATTGTGGGTTTCCGATTTTAGCCAAGTTGTGAGCCGTGCAGCTTTCTGCTGGGTAAAGCAACCTGGCCCCATCAAGGAGGGCTGCACAGCCGTCCCTCTGCTCAGCACACATGCCCTGTGGATGCCCAGCTGGCGCCAGGCTGCTGCCTCCCCAAGTGTCATAAAAGAAGACCAGTGCCCAGGGCAGTTAGATTGCAGAACAGACATGCAATGAAAGTCCAAGGCCATTTACCATCTCCAGAGGGGGGAGGGGTTATGTCATTTACATTATATTAACAGTGGCGGCGAGGAAGCTATAACTCAATTCACATGGAGCCAAGAGTTTATTCAGCCCCGGAAGACACGTCACTAGCTCCACGGAATTGAGCTGAGAGGGTTTGGGAACCAGGAGCCAAGACTAAGCAAGAGGCTATGGAATGTAGCCAGGGAGTTCTGCTGTGGTCTGAGTGTCTGTCTGTCCAGGCCCTCCTCCTCACTGGCCAGTGGCATCTGCTTGCAGGTTCCATTCAGACCAGAGAACACTGTGGATGACAAATGGGTGGCCCATCCCGAAGACAACGTAACAGTGTTTCTGTCACAGAATACATCCCCCTTCAGAAACCCACGCTTGGACATGGGGCGTCATTGCCCGTAACAGGCGCGTTTTGGTCTTGTTCACTGCCACTCCTAACACAGTGGCTCTCAGAACAGCAGGAGTGAATGAGCCAGTGCAGGTCTGAGTGAGGGTCCCTGGACTCTGATGCCTCATCTTGACACGTGACTTCCTAAAGTTTAAACTTTCACCTGTGTTGCTAGTGCACAGCCAGCCAGCAGCCCCTCAGAGGGCTGTCTCCCTAGCCTTCTAGTGCTCTTGCTATCAGGTTACAACTTCTGCTAAACTGCTGGGCTAAAAAAAACAAAAACCAGACTCTGCTGGGGTTAGCCCTTAGCATTGGACATTGCCCACCTTTTCCTGGTTTCCACTGGTCTCAGAAGCCTGTCCCTACCATAGCTACAGGTCCTCCCATCAGTGGGTGAACTTTCCCTGCCATCCAAATAACCAGTGTCCTCTGCACAGCTTCAGACAGCCTGGTTTAATAATAGGGTGTGTTTTTGGACAGGGTTGGTGACTCCTGTAGTGACCCGAGAGCTTCAATAGAAAAGAGAGGAGCTGGTGTGCCCTGGTTTGGGATAGAATTAAGCAAAGGATGTCAGAGTCCTTTGTCCCACCTGATACTGTGTCTTTGGTTCTTAGTAATACCAATGACAGAAATTTGCTTCATTTGGACTAGGCTCAATATAAGTTAATATAATTTTATTCGGGAGAAGGCTCTTACACAGGAAACATGACTGCGGCAAGTTCCCGCTCCAAGGATCCAGGCTGCTCTCTGCCACCCAACTGGAGGCAAGAAGAGAGCCTCCTGTGCCCCGACCCCAGACCTAAAATCACTCTCTGTCAGGTCCGCACCTGTGACCACGCCCATTTGGGCATGGTCAGTGATGCAGGTGCGGATGGGGTGGATATCTCACTACAATGAACATTATAAAGGAACTTGTTAATGTGATTTTTAAAATGAGATGGACCTGAACGAGAGAACTTTAGAACAGCCAGGTGGGGGGTGGGGTGTTGGGGTGCAGCTCAGGGGCTGAGCTGTGCAGGATGTGCAGGGCCTGGGGTTCTGTCTGGAAAAAGAAAACAAATCACCAAGCTGAATTGTAATGCTCCCCGAGGATGGCTTATCGCTGGCAGCAGCCAGCTGCCTCTGGCAACCACTCACTGCGACCTCCTCTTCTCTTGCAGAACTCCCTACAAGGTGAGACCTGTGGCTGTCAAGCAACTCTCTGGTAAGGCCCTGTTATCACATTTTAAATAATGAGAGAGAGATAGAGACAGAGACAGAGACAGAGACAGATAGAGAGAGACAGAGATAGAGACAGAGTTCCAACCTTCTCCCACGATGGAATGTATGTGGATTAAGTGTTTGAGTCTGCAGCCTGCTCCTACTGCAAAATCTGAAACCTTGTGTTCTTATCCTGGTGGCCCCTGAGTTCCCACCCTGACCCAAAGAACATGCTAGATACTGGGTGTCATTCCACCTCAATCCCTAGGCCCACACCCCTCTCCATTCCTGGGAGCTGCCCAGTCAGGCCCCCAGCCCACCCCGTGTCCCAAGGTGCTTCAGCCAGGCGTTGGATTTTGTGAGAATCCAGTCTCCTTTGGGGTTTTTAAAATCACTTCTATTTGTATGTGATTTGTGCGTAATAAAATGCTCCCATTTAAGCGTGCCCCTGGATGCATTCCGAAGAATCCGCACACTGCTGTCACTGTCGATGAAATCGAGGTTTCCATGAACACTCACTCTCTCCTGTTGCTTTGCTGTCTTGGTCAACAGCTGGCTTACTTTTGGGGACCGTCCAGTAGATGTTTCCCAGAGTTTCTGTGAGGCATTAGGGGGAGGGGTGGAAATGCTTCTTATTCGTGAAGATGTGAAACCAGACATCAATCTTGAGTCATGTCCTTCCTCGGGAGCGTCCATACTGCTTTTCGAGACAGGGTCTCTCATTCTCCTGGGTTTTACTGGCTAGGCTAGACTGACTGGCCGGTGACCCCAGGGGTCTTCTTGTCTCTCCATGGATTACATGCCACCATGCCCAGCTGTTTATGTAGGTTCTGGGAATAAGATTCTGGTCTTCCTGCTTCTTCCCAGCAAGTACTTCACCAACTCAGCCATCTCCCCAGCCCCTTTCCAGAGTTTCACACAGGAAAAAAATGACCCAGGATGTGACTCAGCATGATGCCTTTGAGACCCCTTGGTGTGACCACCGGCCATCGAGCCTATTAGCTACTGACGGTCACCCTGAACACTATGCTTTTCATTCATTTCAGAATGGACCTTTGGGTCATTTTTCTATGAGCCAAGCTGCTGTGACTGAAAGACTATGGGTGGGGCTTGAGTGAGACTGTGGGGTCGTGAGGTAAAGTGTAAGTTTAGCTCTATCAAAGCCTGCTGCTTCCCTTCTCTGACGTGGCTATGCCATCTTGGATGTCCTGGTCCCTACTGCAGCTGGCTCCCTTCTCAGCACTCTGTACCATCAGCATTTTCCCTTTTAATTTGCGGATTCCCTATTACTGATCGTGAGTGTCTTTGAGTGTCCATTTTATATTTATTTTACACCACCTCTGGTCCGTTCTTCGGTAACTCCTAGTTTCCACTCCTGCACTTGCTGAGTTGTGAAGCAATGAAGATTCACACTAAGTGTCTATTCCTGTTCACGTGATAAACCACTCTGATGAAAGCAATTGCAGGAGAAAGGGTTTCTTTTAGCTCACAGTTCAAGGTCACACAGTCTGTCATGGTGGGGATGTCAAGGCAGCGGGAGCTTAAAGTAGCTTCACATCCACCGCTGGGGATGGAGGGAGTGATGAATTCATGCTTGCCAGTGCGTGCCTCAGTTTCTCCGGGGCTCAGAATCTCTTGCCCAGGGAATGGTTCCTGCCCACAATTAAAATGAGTCTTCCTACCTTAATTTATGTAACCAAGAGATCTATGTCCCTGGTGACTCTAGATTCTGTCAGCTTGGCAGTTAACACACCAACACACACACACACACACACACACACACACACACACACACCTTTGTTGGAAACACAACAAATGCTCTCTTTATCCAAAGCACCCTTCTCATCTCCTGATTGGTGGATTTCAGGGATCAGATGGGCTCGTTTGTTTGTTTTGATTTTGTTGTTGCTACTTTTGGTGCTGGGAGTCAATCCCAGGGACACATGCAGGCTAAGCCAGCACCCCACAGCTGAAACACATTTCTGGATCATGGTCTTTTGAGTCAGGGTCTTACTATATCATCCACAAGGGCCTTGATCTCAGAGACTTGCTTTTTTCACTTCTCCAGTGCTGGAGTCACAGACTTGCACCCTCTAAGAGCTTTAAATTTTGAAAAAGTCTAGTTTGGTTTTTTTGTTTTGTTTTTTAAAAAGATTTATTTATTTATTATGTATACAGTGTTCTATCTGCAACATATTTTCCTGCAGGTCAGAAGAGGGCACTAGATCTCCTTACAGATGGTTGTGAGCCACCATGTGGTTGCTGGGAATCAAACTCAGAACCTATGGAAGAGCAGCCAGTGTTCTTAACCACTGAGCTATCTCTCCAGCCCCCAAAAAAGTCTAGTTTGATTTTTAGTTTCTAATGTGTATATATATATATATGGGTGTCTTGCCTGTGTGCTTGTATGTGTATCACATGCATGCAGTGCCCTCAGTAACCAGAAGAGGGCATCAGATCCCCTGGAACTGGAGTTACAGACAGTGTGAGCCACCATGTGGGTCTGGGAATTGAACCAGGATTCTCTTAGCTATAGAGCTCTTTCCCCCCCATCCCTGATTTTACCTCCTACCCGGGAAGTTTTCTCATATACTTTTTTCTAGAAGTTTCATTGTTTTAGTTCGTATACTTAGCTCCATAGGGATTTGTTTGCTTGCTTGGATTTTGTTCTTGTTTTATTTTTCTGCAGCATACTATGAAACTCAGGGCCTTGTGCATGGCAGGCAAGCATCCTGCCACCAAGCTGCATCCAAGTCCATGTGACAGATTTGAACTTGACCTTTGTGTATGACATGAGATAGAGTTGAGGTCAGCTTGCCTTTGTGAAATTCAGTTTGGGTGTTGGGAAGATTGATGCGACAGGGTGAATTTTGAATTGTTCACAGAGGGCCAGTGGTGTGTGTGACAATGTGTCCGAGTCTCATTCTTGTCGGTGGTGTGACGTCAGAGGAGGCACCAGTTGCTTTAGCCAGTATTCTGTTTGAGGCATTCCTTATATAAACTGTCATAAGTTCTCTTGACAGTAGATGTGGGCCTAACTTCTTGGAGCATAAATATTTTTATTATAAGAAGCTTATCAGGCCTTCTCTGAGCAGAAAGCTATTTTATTTTGATATTACTAACAAACCCCATTCTCTGCTTGGATTTCAGCATGACTTCCCCTGGTGTCCTTTATCTGTACCAGGAGCTAACCACTGTCCCACACTGCACTGAGGCCTGGGGACTCCCAGTTCTCAGACTTTCATGGCAAAGTTGTGAATCATCTGCTTAGTATCCCGTGTGTGTGTTTGTGTGTGTGTGTGTGTGTGAGTGTGTGTGAGTGTGTGTGTGAAAGAGTGTGTGTGAGTGTGTGTGAGAGAGAGTGTGTGTGTGAGTGTGAGTGTGTATGAGTGTGAGTGTGTGTGAGTATGTGTGTGAGAGTGAGTGTGTGTGTGAGTGTGTGTGTGTGTGTGTGTGTGTGTGTGTGTGTGTGTTTCCCATTTATTTGTTTATTTTTGTTTGTTTGTTTGAGGCAGAGTCTTTATAGCCCAGGCTAGCCTGGAACTCACTACAGAGCACCAGACTGGCCTCGAACTCATGGCAATCCTCCAGCTTCAGCTTGCCAAGTGCTAGGATTAAGAGTAGGTGTCTTTCTCATGATCAGCTATCAAGGTGGAGGAGGAAAGGGATCGTGGGGCACTGTGTCCTCATGGCTCCTCCGCCACACCACACTGTTCCTCTGTCTGTTTCTCTCCTTGGGCAGTGGTTGCTTAGTCTCGTCTGACAAGTAGAAGAGAGAATTGAGGCTTGTTTTTTCCGTATGAGGATTTATTTGGTCCAGCACCATTTGATGAAAAGATGTCCCCATGCTGTCACCATGGCCCCTTTGTGCAAAACCAGTCGGCTACATGTCTGAGTCTTTACCTGGACCCAGCAGCCCCCTGGTCCATTAGCACACACATCCGTGCTGAACAAGGATGTAGGCCATTGCCTGTGGACTGGTGACACAGTCTTGCAGACAGGTGGACAAAGCCCTCTTTTTTTTGTTTCATCTTTTCCAAAATGGACACTGAGTGTATTTTCAAGTAATTTTTGGAGTAAGCCTGTCAATTGCTGACAAAAAAAAAAAGGCTGTTCAGAATTTTATTGCAATCCCATTAAATACACTGAATAATTTGGGAAGAATTAACATGTTGCTAATGGTTCGTGGTCTCTTTTACGAGTGAATTTCTGCACTTAGTGGGTTTCCTGGAGTGTCTATCGAGGTTGTAGCTGCTGGTGGGGGGCTTTTGAATGTTGCTTGGTAACCTCATCACTATTTCCTCCTAGTGCAATAGAAATGGATTTCGTGTGTGAGAGGTTATAGTTTGGTGTATAGCATGCATCAGTTCCTGGGTTCAATTCCTACCAATACAAACATTTTTAAATCTCAGTTTTCCAGGATCTTTTATTTTGTAAACAAATATAAATGTTTTTGTGCTGGAAAAGCCATTCCTGATAGTTACTCAAAAAATCAGAGTTTTGTGTAACTTTGGAGCCAAAGCAGGAGTTGGGCTCTGACTCACTAACAAACATTAGGGCTGAGGGTAAGCAGAGCCCCTGGGATTAAGAGCTGAGCTCCCTGGAGGGTTTGTGGAGGGCCAGTGTGGAAGGCACATGTGAGCAGCTGGGCCAGTGCTGTAAAGCTCTTCCCACATTGGGGGTCACAGGAGTGACAAAGGACTTGGAGGAACAGACAGTGCTGCAGAGGACCAAGGCCTGTCTGTGCATCCTTGCTTCATGATGTCAGAGTGAACGCACAGTGAAGGGTGCATCCTCTCCACGGGCTGGGCCAGGGTGAGACAGAACCAGGAAACGCCTGCTGGCCGGACGCCATGAGTGTGAGCACTCTTTAAGTGAGAGAGCAGCCTGGGAGTGTGGCTTCTCCGAGGATTCCAGCAGGGTGGGGGCGGCCAGCAGCCAGGATGCCACTGCAGAGCCCTGCATAGACTTCTGCTTCACACAAAAGGACAGGACTCTGCTCCT